GTGAAGCTTTTGTTCTTGCATTTATAAATGAGCAGCGCTATTCACATTTAACTTCAACAAATCATGGTCAGTTTCCAGTTTGGAAGTAAAGGTGCTGAAATGCTATCTGTTCATCTGTTTTTCAGCATGAATTATTTTCTTGTCCACATGATTTACCTGTAGGTGCGAGTCCCAGCCAGACCCGTTCGGATGTACTTCCTCTGTCCTTGCTTCTGCGCCCTACATTTAACTCCGGCCCGACAACAGCTTCACCTACACCAACAAATGCTTCACCGGCATCATCGAGACCGATGTCACCCGTTCAGACTGACCCAGAACAGGCAACACCTTCCACGATAGATCTGCATTCCTTTGATCAACAGTCAGTGGGAAATCGTCTGTTTTCTCAGGTCTATCTGCTTACCCGAAGCAACCGACTTGCGTCGCGCATTACGGGTATGCTTCTAGAATTGCCGGCAACCGAACAAGCTGCACTACTAGAAAATGATGATGCCCTATTTAACCGAGTTGAAGAGGCCCGTGCGGTGCTCACTATGGCGGAGGCCGGCGAGCGAGACCGTCCCAGGCAAGTCAGTTAAAATTTAAGACCCGTGTTTTAGGTGATTTATTTCTCTCAAGCAATTACCATCAAACACCTCGAAATAAAATAATGGAAAAAGAATTGAAAGGAAACGCCAGATACAGTCATTTTGGTAGAAGAAAATTAGGGGAAGTGAATTACTCAATAGAGAGATAGCATTATATGAATATTGCCCCTAGGAACGTGTTGTGATACGTCGTATACAATTGAGAAAGCCTGGTTTCTACTAGATGTGCAACAGAGACCGTTCCCTTTCCTCTATGCCTACGTGAACGGGGATGCTGTATGACTACTGCCGTTGTTCGCCCGGCATATGCAGTGTCGCAATTACCCTTGATTTAGATGGGATCCTTGTTTTGGCATCAAATTGCTAGTAATGTGGAGAGCCCACACTTGATTTTGGCAGCGTTGAACTATGCTTTCAACTTCGCACTGGAAATTGTTAACTGGGCTGTGGTAACACTCCATACTTGTATTTTATCCACCTTATACTTCGTAGTTTTTTAGTTTGTTGTTCTTTACCAATTGCAGCAATCCAGAGCCGCCGTTGTCTCCGACGCTCTCATCCAATGCACAACAACCTATATTTGAACGGTTGGTGAAATGGCGGAATACATCTGGACCATTTGCAACAGGATCTGCAATATCGCAATCAACCGGTCCTTCGTGCACAAGCGCGTCTCTTGTGACTACTATTCCAGATTGTAGCATCACGGATCCCGAGCGCGTTCCTCTTTTCTGGCAACCCGGACTCCAGGGCTACTACTTCCCGCGCGCGGTCCCTGGCCTAAACGTGACTCCACCTGTTCCAGTTGATCCGGTCAAACTGGCCTTTCGCTATTCGTTATATCGGTTAGTTATTTTTTGGTTTCTGAAGTGACTCTCTCCATACCTCCCAACTCGTTGTAACTTTATACATTAGAAGTTCATGACTTTAACTTGTGATTGAATCAGAGATATCTACACGAATGCCATGAAGCTCTTCTCGATTTTTCCGTTAGACTAAACTGACATCCGTTTCCATGTAATTTTCTTGTGATGATACCCCGAAGACAGTACATGGGATTTGAATTTCGCACGTATGCAACCCAGTAGCACGACTTGATATTTTTAAATAAAAGCAGTGACTTTGTAAACTAAGCGTTATATTGCAAAAATAGGTTTGTGAATAATTTTCCAAGATAATGGACGGTCGGATTGTCTGAAGATTGCTTGTGTAAGACAAAGAGGTTTGAGCACTGTTTGTATTTGCCCTTTAAGCCCCTGTCATTAGAAAGTAACTCACACCATGCGCAAAACATTACCAAACAGCTTGAAGCTCATTCTTCGTGCAGTTTATCAGAGCTGTTCAAATTGAAATTCCTTTAATTAAAAACTGTTGTTTCACGTCCAGTAATGTAGCCATCTGCCCATCCAGAAAGCTCGGGTGAATCAGTTGTTGTCAGCTTCCGGTGCTGAAATTGAAGCGTTCGTCGTGTGATTATTGTATCCTTCTGGGGAATAGTTTCGAATTCGTCAAAGCCTCCTCTGCACTGGTTTGAAGCTCGTCGTCTATTTGTGTCCGTTTCCATATCATGGATGTGTTCAACCAAATCCACTGAGCTTAGTACATTCACTGGCAGCTTACGAGTGTTCTATCTTCGAGATAATTCACTTTCGCATCGGCAAAAAAATTGTCTGCGTCGTTAGTCGGATGGTGGCTTCCCACCTATGATATCCGACCTTGTAGCACTGCATGAGCTCTTACTGCGTTCAGGTTTTATTAACAGCCGCATGTGACATGTTTAGGCGATTCAAATTTAGCAGTAAAGTGGTTACTCGTCTGCGAATTTGCTAAGCTTCCTTTGTTTCAGATCATTTTGATTACCGCTGTCTGTCCAAGTGGGCATTGATTATTTGGCACCTTTTGACGTTGGTTTTCACTGCTGTCCAACAGCAAACCAACTCAAAAACTTGACAGTGGTGGTCTGTCACATCCCTCTTCGTTAGCCGACGAACTGATCATATGACGAATTTTTGACCGAATGAATGTNTTTAACTCGTGCTCCACTGCGGAGTCAAAGATCAATTTCTCCTATTGAGTTCAATTAAGCGGTTAAGTTACCTTGCGACTTCCGGTTGGTAAGTACGTACCTTCCAGTGGAATTGGCTTGGGTACAGCAGTTACTTTGCATTCCGGTAACAGGAACCGCCTAGAAATTTTTTCATATTCATTGAGTAATTACAAGGCGTAGAACTTACTCATAATACTGGTTCGTTTCTTTTCCCATAACAGCGGTGTTGGACGAGTCATTGGTCTATGCCTATTGACCAATGAGACATGTCCGTTGCATCTGAGTCGTCCGGTACTGAAGTACATTCTCGGTCGTGTCTTGCACTGGCACGACTTTGCTTTCTACGATCCAACAACATTTGAAGGCCTTCGTCAACTTCTACAACATACGCTGCCTGATCAGAAGGAGGTGAATTATCATACCAAATACATATTGTATTGTATTCGCATTAGATGTGAATGCACTGTTTTGTGCGTATAATTCCGGGCAATGTTTTTCTCCGTTACAGAAGCTCGAGGGTTCCGTGGCGGATTACAATCTCACGTTTTCACTAATCCCTGCGGTGGAGGAGGGCGGTTTGACACATGAACTCAGCCGTTCAACATCGGTAAACAGCTCACACCACTTGGCTCCTCAAGGCGATGAAATTGAAGTTAATGATTCCAACGTGTATGAATTTGTCAAGCGGTACACCGAATTCAAAATGGTGGAGTCTGTCCGCGAACCACTGGAGGTGATAGTTTTTATTGAAATCTTTCATTTTTGATAGTCAATTCGTTATGCCTAACACGTAGTGTCAGTACTATTCCTCGGATTGTTGTCCTACTCATCCCAGTTACAATGCATCGTAGGTAAATAATGTGATTAGTTTGTTTTGAGATTTTCAAGCATGTGGATGCAGATTAGACGACTTCAGTGCCTGGTCAACAAACTTGCGTGTTAACGATCTGTAACGAGAAACAAGTATGTGCTTTCTGAAACTATGCTTCTCCCTGTTCATGTCGTACAGCAATTGCGCCTTGGCGTGTTCGATATTTTACCTCGAAATGCTTTGGATCGACTCACTGCAGAAGATCTACGGCTCTTGTTAAATGGAACCGGAGAAATCGATACGGATGTGCTTGCTAGTTACACTACATTCCACAATGAAACTGGTACAAGTTCCACGGATCTGGGAAAGTCCCTTGAAAGCAATGGAGGAGCGAATAGCGTAGATAAAGTTGCGCGTCTTAAACGCTGGTTCTGGAGCACCGTACGCAATATGGACAACAAACAGCGTCAGGATTTGGTGAGTTGTTCAGCACCCCTTGAAATTATTCGTGCCCGTTTTTCCACTGCTTTTATTCACATTTTTGTTATTACATACTTCATTGTGATGAACGGCAGACTCGAAAAGCCCCAAAATGACGAGAACATGTTGTTCAGTGGTGGAGACCGGTTACCCGATATATATATACATATATATATATGTGTATATATATACATAACCCAGAAAGATGCGGGCATGGACAGTTGTAATACAATAAAACAGTAATAGAGCTCTAACGTGAACTTCAGGGCAATGAGCTCCCAGTAAACGCTGGAGTGCAACGATTTGACGTTTAGTACTTACATCATCACGACTAATGTTTACTGCAGTTTCCACCATCCCCTGAATATAATCAAATTTTTTTAGAACACAATGAACGCTCGTTTGAAACGGTTAACCTGGTATTCTACTTCTTTCTCATATCTTTTACAGCTGTACTTCTGGACCTCAAGTCCAGCGCTGCCCGCAAGTTCGCAAGGATTCCAACCCATGCCCTCAATCACTATTCGACCCGCCGACGATCATCATCTGCCATCTGCAAATACCTGTATTTCTCGGTTGTACTTGCCACTTTACTCATCCAAACAGATACTACGAGAAAAATTGCTCCAGGCAATTGAAGTCAAAAGCTTCGGCTTCGTTTGACCTATCGTGACTCATCTCGTTTATCGTCAAGTCGATTCTTGTATGTATGTATGTATACAGACTGGATTTTTCAGGTCGCCCGACAGCGGCATCTACTTTCAGACCTACCACACATGTACACATTTGATCCGCTACGGTTGGCTAATACAGAATTGCAAAATTAAAAATGATTTATTTATTTCAGGAGTGAGAATCGGAATTGGTTTTGAAGTGATATCACATACTGGGACGATCACATATAGGCATATATGCACAGTGGATTTGGAAGCGCTGTCACTGAGATTGTTGTATCTTGGAACTGAGTGCTTGAAAGTCGCGCTCCAGTCGATTTAGTTCCGTGTCCCAAAGTCGGGCTTCGTTCACTTCGTTTCGAGACAAGGCCGACATTAACTGAGCTGAGACTGTGTCGATTGCGGCTGCGACTTGGGCCAAGTTACCTACGGTGGACTTGGTAGATGTACTTGAATCGGCCGGCGATAACGCTTTGGTGCGGCTGCCCGCCATGGCTACGCGCCGTTCCAGCTGAAATATTAGAACATATTAGCTACATGGTACTAAAATTAATACGTGTTATTCACCATACAACGGTTACCGTGACGAGAACCGCAACTAATTCGAGCCGTTTGTACTAGTATTGGACGATACATTTTCCCATTTTTGGCGAATATTTACCGTTCACTAAAAAAGCATTTTAGGGTCTGATTTAATTAGTCAAATAATTCATTGCTGGTCCAGCGCCAAGTTTGAAAAGAGGTGTTTCAGTTACAACAAAGGAGACAGCTGAAATATCGAAAAGTACATACGGCTAAGTGTTCGTGCATCCGCTTACACCAAGCTACGGCTCTCTCAGGTACCAGATGACATTCCCGCACAAAACTTAAATTCTGGCACAAGATGGGTTTTTCCCCAATGATTACAACATCCTGGGAGCATGTGTTGCGCATGTCACCAAGTAGCTTGCCTTGGCACACGAAATTTGCCGAAGCCGGCAGTGGGTGAAAAAAGCCAAGGGTGATTCAAGCCCTTGGATCAGATCTTATTTGAATAAGATCTAATCCAAGGGTATGAAACCCTAATTAGGAGACTAGGGTTGGATAGTGAGTTAGATCCCACAGTGATTCGCTGATGTCTTGACAATAATTTAGGAATGATCTCGGAGGACTGGGGAAGGTCGTCACAAAGATCGAACATTGATCCAAATGGTTCAAAATCACCTTTTTACGGTGGACCAAAAAAGAATAGGAATCCCTCATCGAAAATGTACAGAGGCATTCCTTGTAGCAGAGTATGGTGCATCTACTGTCTACTGCGAAATCACTAACAAGTTGGAGTTAGAAGCTAAGTTGATTTATTAACAAGTTCTGACGCAAGTTTACATCCAATCCAATGCTGTTGTACTAAGACGCTTGACACAGCATATTTCATCCATAACCAAGGAGGCAGATGAAATGCTAAGAGGACGTCCTTTCAAACTGATGCTCCGAAAAATTCCACTGGAATTCCGTTTTCACACCTATTCCTCTCGATAGAATATTTGGAAATCCTTACCAACTCACTTTATGTTCACTCAAATGATTCTTTCAAGCAGGCTGTATGAATCATTCGCATTTCTTATATTGCGACATCCATATTAGTGCATTAAACAGTGAGATCGTGATATTTCTCGGCTGACTATGGTGGCAGAGGGATAGTCATATAGGGACAACCAAGGCTGCTGCCTACTCCGTGNAAGGGGGACTGACGAATTCGGTCGAACGCAAACAACCACTTGTTCTGTCTGAAAGAGTGGGGAAACGATACTCCATCCGACACATCAGTTTACGTAAATTATGGATAGCACTACATTTCGAGTCCTGATTTGACAACTAGTCTGCATCTGACTACGCACTAGGTCCTGAATCGCCCAACTCTTCGACACAGTGTACAAATTGGATAGCGTTTCTAGTAAGTTTGTGGTCGGATAAACAGGAACCGAGGTTATGATGAACAGCGGAGTAAGGTTTGGTTCCATCAGCGAACCTGAATTTCAAACGAAAGATCGGATTTGTTGATATTATTAGTAATGATCAAGCGTGTATGTTCGGTCTCTATGCAGATAACTTGACGAGATTCGCAACATCAACTCATGGCGAGCTTTAGGAGGAAGGTGGTACGCTAAAGCCGCTGCTAAGTTCAATCAAGTCGAGGGATCGTTTTATACACATCGAAAGGTAGATATTCAGCAGCCACGTAACCACAATGTGTCAATACAAAGTGAAACAAAAAACATTTTAATATAACAGTTCTGAGACGTGAAAACGGACAGCAACATCAAAAACCAATGGCATACCCGGGTGTTTACGATTTGTTTACCGTTTTGTGCAAATTTCCCGTGACTAGTTCATGGTTTGTTAGAAATCTGGCGAGGTACGGTACAATAGAGCGCCCGTAAGATTCAGTGCGTGTTTTTATGAGTTTGTGAGTGGAACGGGGTTGATGAGTGAGGAAGGCATTGACTAAGAGCAGAATAAAGGGCATGGGATATATCAGATAAATCCTTATTGGAGAATGTTTTACAGGATTTGAGGTGGTATTAATATATACTGTATCAGATGTTCCCGTGGACTGAGACTACAAACCGACAGAAACTTGAGAGATCGGGAGATGCGTTTGAGGTCCTTGTCAAAAAGACCGGAGAAGATAACAGGGGACCCATAAAGCCAGTGGGTCAAAACATACGCAAAAACAAAACGCTTTATGAGGCGGTTTGGGATAGAAAATAATTTGAGACGTAAAACATGAACTTCCTGACCTTCAGAAAAACGTCATTAACATGGTCAGACCAAGTTTGAAAATAACGCCAAGGTACTTGAAAAACGGTTATCGTTCCATCTGGTCATTGAGGATAGATAGAGGCGGGCTGACATCTGATAATTCATCGTACTTTTTCCTTTTCAAAAAGGGGAAATTTACGTCATTACATTTTTGGGGGTTCGTGCGGAGGTTCCTTTGTTAAGACCACTCAACTATTTCCGACATATGTTTCTTGCAGTGGTTTGAAACGGTGGGTTGGTGAAGGATATTCCAAATATTATATCGTCTGCATACTTAACAAGAAGAGAATTGCTCACAGGCATAGAGGACATGTAAGCAGAAAATAGAAAAGGGGATAAAATAGCGCCTTGCAGGAGGAGGGCAGCAGTGAAGATGTACGACCCTTGTAGCGAGTGAACTGCTGACGGTTGAAGAAATAGTTGGTAAAGAGTTCAATCGTAGAAGGTTGAAGAGAGGGTATTTAGCAAAATCTGGCGATCAATTGTGTTGAAATCATCAGTGGTCAAGAAAACATGCGTACAACCTTGCTTTTCTTATCCAGGTTGGATAAAACAAAGTGGGACAGGTAAGAAAGGGCATCCAGGATACATCGGAAACTGGTTCGGGTCACCAACTTGAACTGTGTGGACAGGGTCTTAATGAGGAGCCACACAAACATCTTCAAAACAACTGAGGTGCAAGCAATGGGAAGGAATTTTCAGGATACTTTCTTCGATACTGAGGTGATGAGGCTAATCTCCAGCAGTCGGGTAGACGTTGCTGCGAAATACACTTATTGAAAAGTTCACTCAGTACAGAGAAAAGGAAGGCAGCACATTCTTTCAGGATAACGGGCGAGACTCCGTCAAGACCGCGGGACTTGTAATGATGAAATCAAACCAGCGGTGGATAAATATCGACAGGTGCAACACTGACAACGGGATGAGTTTCTTTCATATCCTTTAGGTAGAGCAGTGAGAGCGGTTCCACTGTTGACGAAACTCTGATTCAGACCGCCTATGGCCACTGCAACAGGTGAGCGGTGTGAGGGTTTGATGCCAGAAATTCGCATGAGGGCTTGTCGGGTCTTACAAATACCTTCGTTGTCAAGCTGAGCACGGGCGTATAAAGAGTTTAGCCTTCGAAATTCAACCCCGATGGATTTAGAAAGAGAGCGCACCTTGTTGCGCTTATGCATTTTGAAGGCACATGTCTTCCTACGACGGAGTTGTTTTAGGTGTGGGAAAGAGAATCAATCAGGGTGGATATGAATAGTCTCTGAGGCACAGCAAACATCGTCGCAAACGCTTAAGTAACTTGCTAATTGATCACAAAAGACGGAAGGGTTAGGATCAGAAAACAAAGTAAGGTCTGAGTGCCTGATCATTTCCCTTAACCTCGTGAGGTTTTCTGGAGAACCCTGTCTTACTTGAAGCTTGTAATCACGACTTCTAATAAAGAGATGGGATGGTAGGGAAAAACTTTGACACAAAGTGGTCTGACATTTCCAGTGGGAGGCGGAGTTCTACAAGAAATAAATCGAGAAGGTTGATTAAACCCAAATTCAGGTGTGCATCAAGCCTAGTGGAAAAGGTAAAAATGTTTTAAAGACCTAAAGTGGTTAGGAAACGGGTATCAGAATGATTGAAGTCACCACAAATGGTACAGACTGAAGTATCTACATATTCAATCAATGTAGTTGAGAGTCATAAAGGTCATTAAGAACATTAGATGAGCAAGAGGGACTATCTATACATTTAAAATTATCAGTGACCGAGATGAGCTGAAATGTTTGTGCTTACATTGAAGTACTGATACGTTTATATAATGTGTGGAATAAGAGAACACATTTTTAGTCAGATGACACCACTGATTTTTGAAAAACCTGATGACACCACCACCCCGTCTGGAATAAGGAACAGAAAGATCGACACGATAGTTAACGAAACCATCCGGATGCATTAGTTCATCCTCAACTTCATTGCGGAGCCAACTTTCTTGGCGTATGATCACACCCCGTTGGGCATATTCCCGTAGTTTGACTAAGCCGATGAGATCGGCCATATTTCCGATAAGAGATCGGACGTTACGACGGAGAACGATGGGGACACAAACGGGAGATAGTTTGTTTTCGAAGAGCAACTTTCCAACCGGCTCGATGCTTCCTCGGATTTTTCGAAAGATTCCTGACCGTACTTCTGGGTTTATTCCTCATAGTCCTCCAAAAACAGGTTGTAGTTACACATTTGGTCCACTTAATTGAATGTATGAAATCCCGGGTGTTTTTGATCAAATTTGTCATTGCTGTAGTCACCTTGGCTACCAAGGTAAAGGTTCATGCGAATGACACAAAAAAGGCGGAGGCAGTTGTGGATATGCAGTGAATAATCCGATGATGAAAGAAAACGGATAGCGCGGCCGAAAGTCAAAGGCCCCGCCATGAGAAACAGATTCAAATTCAAATTTTTATTATGGGATATAACTTACAAAGACTTCGCTTTTACAAATCCCACAGGGTGTTTACACATTGGTTCGGATGAAGAATCACAATATCACAGTTAGTCCATGAAAGTAAAGTAGTAAGGTAATGTTTTGACGAGCACAGGAGAATAAGTTATGTAGTTGGGTGTTGAAACGTAATGTGTGCCAGAGCATCGTCAAGCTGACGCTTGAATGATACTAATGTTGGGGCACAGACCACGTGAGCTGGTAGAGAGTTCCATGTGCTGCACACTCTGACTGCAAACGAGTGACGTCTGCAGTCGAGACGGCTCTTTTGGTGTGCCAACTTCAGCGGATGCCCTCTGAGATGAACGTTGTACGATAAAACCAACAGAGGTCTACAGGGGTGGTTGGGTTATTGGAAAATCCGATAGAGTAAAATCATATCGCCTCTGATTCGACGATATTGGGATGAGTATAGCCCCAGGAGCTGTAATCTTTCTCCGTAGGTCTTGGAATGCAAACCTTTGACCATTTTGGTAGCTATTCTCTGTGGATGTTCGAGCGCCTTCAGATCTCGCTGCAACCATGGGTTCCAGGCTTGAATTGAGTACTCAGTGTATGGACGAATATACGTGGTTAGCAGACGTGGAAACAAAGCCGGCTCAAACGATCCAAAA